CCCCACGTGGGCCTCCCTGCTGGTGGGTTCAGCAGCCCCCAGGTCACGCGAAAGCCCTGGGGCTGACTTCTGGGGCTGCTGGGTCGCATCAGTAGCCATTGCCCTGAGGGACTGTGCTGACTGGCCAGGCCCAGCACGCGCTCACCCCGGGGAACCCAGAAGGAGGGTGTGGTTCTGGGGGAGGTCGGGCAGCCGGGCCCACCCACCCAGGGCAACTCTGCCAACCCCTGGTCTCCAGGCCGGGCAGCTTCCATGGGGGCTGGGCAAGGCCAGTGACACCGTAAACATAACAGTGCACCGACTGAACGCTCGTGAGCAAGTAGGTAAACGGGTCAGTGTGTCAGCAGGGGCAGGAGCCGGCCGGGGAGGTCTCGCGAGGAGGTGGCCTTTAGGCAAAGTCCTGGGAGTGAGATGAACCAGCTCCACCGGCAGCGACTAGGTCACAGCTGGGGTGGGGGTTGTGCCGCAGGGGTATGCCGTGAGGGCCTGGAGGACCCCAGGGGGACCTGCCTTCCACTTGGGGTGAGCTCAATGCATGTGGCTGCGGCCGGGGCCACAATCACTGCCTGTGGGCTGAGGGACAGACAGCACCAAGTCCCCTGAGCACCTCCTCTGCCTCACTGGGCCAGGAGGCCTTAGCCCTCACCCTGGCCGTCCCCCTGGGACAGCCGTGGCCCCTTTTTCCCTGGGTGGCTTCTGCAGAGCAGGAGTCCGGAGTCAGTTGCATGATGGGGCTTGGGCAGGAAGGGAGGGCTTCCCTGAGCAGGTGGTGCTCAGGCGAGCCCTGAAGGGTAAGCAGAAGCTGTCAGGGGTTGGGAGAGACCCTGGGTCACAGGCCAGAAAGCTGGCGACACCTCTTTGGAGCCCGGTCTCCTCTCGTGCCCTTACGCCTGGTGTCTCACCCGTGAGCCCCGTGAGCAGCAGTCACTCCTGTCCACACACGCACGGACCGCCGGCACGGGGCTGATGTCCAGAAGTGCTGAGGAAAGGTGGAGGTGGGCGGGGGCTGCAGCCTCCAGCCCTTTGTCCCCCTCCCCTCACTGTGCCACCTCAGAATGGGCACCCGCTGGGTCCGGGCCCCAGAAGCCCTGTTCCGGTCTGGGAAGGCCTGTGGGAAGCAGGTGAGGCATGCGAAACACGGGAGGGCTGGGAGCCAGCTGTGCCTGCGGTTGAGCCTCTGCCCGGGCCAGGCCTCGTCCAGCCCATCTGAAGCCTGTTCGCAAGTGTGAGACTCGTTCTGCCGGAAACTGAGGCTCCGGAGGGAGAGATCCAGGCTCCACAGCTCCTCAGCTTTCTGAGACCCCTGGCCTCCCCCTGGGCTGATGCGGCCTCCAGCTGCAGGCAACAGGAGCGGGTCGCGCCGGGTCGGCATGCCATGCTGGGGCCGCCAAGGGGAGGCGGACGAGACCCAGGCATGACAGGGAACCTCGGATGTGGCTGTGTGTGTGTGGCTGGCTTCCCCTGCCCCGTGTGGTGTGGGCAAGTGGCGGGGCGGGGGGGGCGACGGCCAATGGAGCCTGTAAACTGAGGCCCACAAGCCTGCGCGAGGTTTGGGATTTCGTTTTATGGGGTTTTTTTTTGTGGCGAACGACATACAACATCAGACGTGCTGTTGTAACTGTCTTCAAGTACCGTCCGAAGCACCACTGTTCATCACCCTCAGCAGAGACTATACTGTGAAGCGACAGCCCCGACTCCTCCCCCAGCCCCTGCCGACCTCTGAGATGTGCCTTGTCTCTGGGTCTGCCTGGTCTAGAACCACTTCTAGGGGGATGTTCTGTGCCCCCCTTCTGTCTGGCATCTTTGGCTTAGCGCGGTGTCCTCAAGACCCATCCACACTGGAGCCGGGACCCGGGCTTCAATCCCTCTCTCCCTGGGTCAGATGCTATTTATGAGTAGACACAGACTGTCTATCCACTTTTCAGGCGTTCTCAAAATGTGAACAGCACAATCAGTCACCAGTTTTGTTTTTAATTTCTATTTTATTTTAACGAGGTGGGACACGATTCAGGATTAGATATACAAGTGGTCATCGTACAGGTAAAGTTTGGGCCTCCCTTTGGTCCCCACTTTGCTTGGTTTGAGATCAGGTACCCTGATTGGTGTTGTGTCTACCCCCCCTTCCCTGGCAGTACTCTGCTACTGCCAATCCCTTTCTTATGGAATTACGGTACATGTTCAGGGTTCGCTTATGAGTGAGAACATGCGGTGCCGTGTTCTTTGTTTCTGTGATAGATCACTGAGTATGATAGACTCAGTCCATCCAAGTTGCTGTGAAGTCCATATATTTGTCCTTCTTTGTGGCTGCATAATATTCCATCATGTGTATGTATCACATTTTTTAAATTCAGTCCAGCTTCGATGGGCAACACGGTTGGTTCCATGTTTTTGCTGTTGTGAATAGTGGTCACCAGTATTTTTAAATCTGGATGTTTACCTGAGGGTGCAGATCTCTAGCTCTTCTAGAAACTCGAAACACGTGCAGGCTCCCGGGGCCTCACGGGCCTCATCTGCCCAATGGCTTCCTGGCCAGACTGGGGTGACACTGCCGAGCCAGCGCCCGTCGCTCCTGGCCAGGCAGCTTGGGGATGCAGCCCTGAGGCCAAGTGTTGGCAGCTGGAGAGTTCGGGCCCCTGTGCCAGGCTTCTGACCTGGGCGGTGGCCCCAGGATTGCCCCGTGTAGTGCCCGGGTCTCCTATGTGCTCACACCCAGCGAGGGCGAGTCCGTCCTCCTGGCTGGGGTGGCCGATGAGGGGACACCACCTCTAGCCTGTGCAGGAGTGACACCGCAGCTGGCCTTGGGCCTGACGCCCGAGGTGAACGCGGTGCCTATTGGCTCACTGTGTGCCAGGCATGGTGCCCACTGAGCACAGCCCCCCTTCAGAGGCCTCCGAGGTCCTGCAAGGCCAAGCGAGTGAGGGTGGTGTCGTCCTGAAGTCTCACCTGTAAAGCAGGCTGAGAATGGGCCCTCATGGCCTCTGGCAGCTTGGACAGCCAGCGTCGGGGGGCCTTTCTGGGGACAGACCTGCCGGGTGAGGCAGGCAGCCCTCAGGACAGCCCCGGGCCAGGGGAAGACAGCATGACGGATCTCCAGGAGGGCCAGTGGGGTTGGGGCTGTGAGTGCCTCCTTCCTGGGGACGCGAGGAAGGCACCCACCTTGAGCAGGCAGCGTGGAGCTGGGCCTTGAAGGCTGGAAGCACCACTGCCAGCGGAGAGCCCACGCACAGGCCTGGGGGGCGAGGGCCAGCAGTGCCCAGGAGGGGCTGGACTGGGGGACTGTAGAGGCCACTCGGAGCAGGAGGCCGAACTCTGATTCAGCAAGCAGTGGGCCCCAGGAAGGTTATGGGACAGAGGAGCCAGAGGCGCCATGATCGGGCCGCACTGAGCGGGGCAGCTGCGAAGGGCTGGCGGGCGAGGGTGGGGGTCCGCGCGTTCGAGGACGGGGCAGCCCCCGCTCCCACAGTTCCCTTTCCCCCTTATCGGTGGGGTTCAGTAACGCCAGCCTGCCCCTGCAGGGGTGGCTCCTTCGTGGTCCATCATTACTGCGTCTCCCAGCCTGGGACAGGGACGACACGCAGTAGGTGCTCGGCGAGGATGCCGGGCAATTTGTTAGTACCACAGACGTCAAGATCGGTTTGCTGGAGGTGCTGCCAGAACACCAGACCCAGCTGAGAGGGGAGAGGACGGCAGGGCAGGCGGTGAGGCCCCGGAGGCTGGGGGCCTCGGGGCTGAGCCAGGGGTGGAGGGAGCGGTGGAGCCAGGCTGCCCGGGGAGGGGGAGGACAGGACGAGGACAGGACGCCGAGCCCAGGGGACCAGCGGCAGCTGAGGGGGAGGGGTGCCACCGCACCTCGGCCTTTCCCATCCCCCTCTGCCCAGGGACCTGGCCGCTTGATGGGCAGCCTGGTCCCGCCCCCGGGCAGCCGGGAGGCCGGTGATTGGTCGGGAAGCTGGAGCC